CGAAGGGTGAGGCTTGCTTTTATGTCGGTCCTTCGAGAGACCACCCGCGTAACTGTCATAGAGTACTTACGAGGGCTGGAACTATTCAGGAAACGAGGAATGTGACATGGGAAGCGTTGCCGTCACAACTCCCTCCACTGCAACCGTCTCTCTTGCCGATAGAGGTTGCAGAGCAGGGAGGGGAGGAACGTGACGACGATGTAGAAGCTGAGGTATGGCCGCTTTTAGGAAGAGGAGTTCCCCACATTCTTTTGCGACGTGATATCTCTGGTGGAACAATCGATGAGGTTGGCAGTGTTGATGCAGGCAGTGTAGGTCAACCCCCCTCTATGCCATCTTCGCCCGCGATTAATTCCCCTAGTAGCGCAGCTCCCCCTGTGTCTTCTCCAGCAGACGAGTTCTTCGATGAGGGAGGGCAGGGAGGGCCGGAGACAGGGCAGACAGAATCGGCGGGTCCGGGAGGGCAGGAGGTAGAGTCGGAGAGTCAGGAAGGTTTGGATCAAGAGTTGGTTGAGCCGGGAGGGCAGGAGGTACAATCGGAGGCATTTCCCCCTGCTACGCACGTACCATCCAATCGTCGTGCGCGGCATGAGCTTGCTAGTTACAACACTGCTATGAATGAGAATGTTGAAGTCAGAGAAGGCAGAACCCGTGCGCAAACTCGGGCAGTAAATCAGCAGAGCGTACCCGGCCTCATGGCCACTCTAGGACCCATCTCCGCATCAGATATAATATTGGCACTCTTAGTCGAACAGAGAGCATCTGATGCAATGGAATTGCCGAAAGTACTAATTCAAGATGTAGAGTCAGAACCGGGTAGCTATCAAGAAGCCCGCCAATCAAAGTATTCTACGATTTGGGACGAAGCCATGTCTGTAGAATTTGAAGGCTTGTTAAGAGCAGGAACGTTTGCGTTAGCAGTAAAGGCTCCGATAGGCTGTAACGTGATAGATGCTAGATGGGTCTACAAATGGAAAGCAGATGAAACAGGCAAGATAGTGAAGGCCAAGGCTAGGCTTGTAGCGAAGGGCTTCAAGCAGAAGCATGGTGTGGATTATCTTGAGACTTTCTCGCCTACTGCAAATGCTGCATCAATTCGTTTGTTGGTAGCATTGGCGTGCAAGTATGACTTGGAATTTCTTCACTTTGACATTGAGCAAGCGTTTGTTCAGTCGGAATTGGATCACGAGGTGTTCATGAAGTTGCATCCTGGCTGTGAGTCGATGACAGGAAAGGTAGTCCGTTTAGACAAGAGTTTGTATGGACTGAGACAGGCATCTAGAACATTTCACAAGAGACTTGTGTCGGACCTGAAGAGGATTGGTTTCGAACAGTCTCTGTCTGACCCCTGTGTTCTTCGTTTCATTATGAGAGACGAGGTGTTGGGTATGATTGCGATTCATGTGGATGACATTCTGTATGCAGGAATTGAGAGGCTTGCCAAGATGGTTGTGGAAGCGCTAGGTGACTCTCTCCCCACGAAGAATTTGGGCGAGGTCAAGTTCTTTCTTGGTTGCGCATTCGTTCGCGACCGCGAGGCTGGTACGATTGAGATGTCTCAAGAGAGTTACATCAGGAGTGTTCTCGAGAGATTCAATGTTTGTCGCACCAGCTCGATCCCTGCTTCCCCTGCTAACGATTACAGGTCCGTGATGGAGGATGAGGGGGCAGGAGATGTGCCGTTCCGAGAGGTGGTGGGGAGCCTGATGTGGATCGCCAACCAGACAAGGCCCGACATCTCAAATGCTGTGCGGGCGGTGGCGAGGCACTCTCACGAGCCAAAGAAGAGCCACTGGAAGGCGGCCCAGAAGATTCTGAATTATCTTCTGGAGACGGCACATCTAACTTTGAAGTACAAGCAGGACACTATGGTAGACGTAGGCACGTTGGTATACGTAGACGCAGACTTTGCCAGTAAGGCCACTGATCGTAGATCAGTTTCGGGAGCACTAGTTCTTGTAGCTGACTGTCTTGTTGCTTGGATTTCTAGGACGCAGAAATGTGTCACACTTTCAACCACTGAAGCAGAGTATGTTGCGATGGGTGACGGTGTGAAAGAGGCTCTGTTTGTCAACGGAATGCTCGAGTTCTTGAGGCCTAGTGAGAAGCTTGGTAAGATCCAGGTACGCGAGGATAACGAGGGTGCGATTGCACTTGCTGAGAATCCACTTAGTTCGTGTAACAGTAAGCACATTGACGTGAGGCACCATTTCCTTAGGAATTTGACAGAAGAGGGAGTGTTGGAAATCAGTCATGTCGCTAGCGAAAGACAGCATGCGGACATCCTGACGAAGGCGCTGCCGAAAGATCTTTTTGAAGTTCATCGTAATTTTGCTCTAGGCTCGAGATCTGAGAAGTAGATAGAGGTCTGAGTCGTGTTTTCTATTTTTGCTATTTCTGATATATATTTGGTCTGGTCGAGACAACAGCCCCAAGGGAGGGTGTTCGTGATTATTGCTGCTGTGTGTCGACAAGTAGCGCAGAACACTAACAGGAAGTTCAAATAACGGGACTGTCGTTTGGTAGGAATGTTTCTAGGAATGTTCTTCGTGGATGGTGTTCTCGGTATGTCGGATGGTTCATAGACCCGAGCGTGTTCTCGGTATGTCGGATAGTACATTGGTCCGAGTTCCATGTTTTGTGTGTTGGTCGAGCGACATGGCTGATGCTGCGGTGCTCGCGCACCCAGCTCACTCCACCTTTTGACCTGTTCTCCTGGTCCAAGGTCTCATCAATACAACATCTTTTCCCCAGAAGCCACGAGTTTACCAACAATTTTTTCCTGTTGGATGGTGCGTGTCGTGGTCGGTGTTACTTTCTTGAAACATACATATATCGGTCGTCGTCGGTAGTGTTGGTACTACTAACCTTGCGTGCGTTCGTCGTGCTGTGTTTCCTCGCCACGTCTTGCTTAGTTGTGCTTCTTTTCGCATTGTGGTTTCTGCGAAAGAATGTGCTTGACGCGATTGGCACGCGTCGGCAGTGATGATCCTGTTCGTCGTGTCGTTGCAGGTTGATAATCTCCAGAAACATCATCATCGGTGTTTCCTTTGTTTCTTGCCGTTGGGGTCGAATTGTTGCGGCATTCTACAAGAGAAACATCGTTCGTCGGTCGTCGGTGATCATCGGTGTTTGTAGTTTTGCAGGCATATGCCGGGACTGTTGTTCAAGGTAAGGAATTCCACGAAATATCTTGCCTGCGCACCCAATACTTTACTCCGTTAATACCGTTGTCTTACCTCGTCCTATCTAACCTGGTGATCGTTGCCCGTCCCTCAATCTTCCAGCGGCGCCGTTTCTACCACATCTTGTTGGTTTGTTTATGCTTTCCTGTCTTGTCCAACCTGCATCAATCGATGTTCATGACGCCAGAGCAATCGCATCATACCCGAGACAGATGTTCTCCTGCTTTCCCTTGCCAAGTCACCGACTACAAGGAAGAGGGCTTGGATCGAGGCCCGGGCTACCCCGGGCCATAATTCTGTCTAGGCTGAGGACGTGAACAGACTGAACCAAGCCCAGCACCCAACAATTTTGCCTCAACCCTCACTGCTGTATGAAGTCTGACCATTATTAGGAGCGGGAAGTCCGCGACCATGCGATGCTGCTTTCGTGGCACATGTTTGGGTTTTATTGTGTTTGCTTTTGTCCGGAATGACCGCGTGCCCTCTTGCACCACACCTGTGTACGACAACGCGCGTTGTGCTAGTTACACAAGTGCAACCGTTGCCCTGGAATTGCTTTCGTTAGTGTCATCAGTACACGCGCGCGTAACAAGATAACATTCGGTGTGGTTCAGCGCTACACCCCTGGGCGACAGCACCTCCAGCGTTAGTTCATCTCTCCCCAATAATTGGACCTCGTCCTGACCATGTCCGTTGTATCGTGCCTGTCCCCCTGTCCCACACGTCGTGAACAGGCGCGCTACACCACGTCGCCAACCCACTTCGTGCTTGGCCCTTTTCGCACAGACGGCATCAGATCAGCATAGCCTTCGCTGACTCTTCTAGAACGGGTAGATCCGTAGAGAACGGCGTGTATGAGGAGAGCGAGGGGACTTGGGGCCACCAGTAGTTTGTTTCCCTCCCGTTGCGCAGTATGTATTTCGCTCAACACGTGTATTCGGCGAAGTCACACCGTCTTTGTCTGTTTGGGGTTGTGTAAAGCCTAGATGCTGTGGTCGGATGTGTGTGTTCGTCCCATTATGGCGCCAGTCTTACACCTCTCGGTGTACATGTTTGTGACGTATCAGCCGGGGCGTCACACAGGAGCTTTCTTATTTTTGGCACTGCAAACATGTGTGTGACATGTAAATATGCCATGTAAATAAGAACTCTGTGTTGAGGTTCAACTGTTCGGATTCAAACACGAAACGTCCTCTCTCGGCGTTCGAGTCGGGATGAGACCTTCATTTTGCTTCTCCTGCCTGGATTTCGTTTCAATGACTTCCGCAAGAAGGTCGAGGGTCAACCAGCATCGTATTGGTCAATGAAACTCCTAGAAATCCGGAGGTACATTGTTATTTCCTCCGACATCTTCCGGTAAAATGTACTTGGGTGTGACCGCCCTGGTGTCCCTATTTTGAGGACAGGCTGTGCCGACCGCAATTGTTTATCACAGGTTGGACTAGCGCGAAAGAGATGCGGTGCTGGATAGCTGTTTTAGTGTGAACACAAGCAGCCAAGATAGACAAGACAAAAGGATACATGACCACATGCTGAAAAACGAGGTAAAGAGTCCCGCTGACTCACGTCAACAACCACATGCTGGCGTTCAACAACGAAATATTGCGCCTGTTGGATATCTTCATCATGAATGAATGGGTACAACGGGATGACCGCCAGTGGCACGAACAACTCGATACATGCACCACTATCGGTTGTTTGGAGTCTCCCTACACGACATCAAGACACCGTTGGGATGTTGTCAGCTTCGGCAGTTTTTCGACGTTGATTAGACCTCGCAAACAAAAAAAAGCAATTCGGCACCGAAAGCTTGCCAACGCTTATCTCTCACTCCTTTTTTCTCGTGTTCGAATTGGTAGAGCCACGAAACACGTTTGTTCGCATCAACAAGACACACATCGTTGCTTCAGCGACAACACCATCTTTCGCTGCCTTTCAAAACTGGGCGCGACACCAGAGCTTCGAACATCACATTGCCCCCGTCCTCGGCACTCGTCCATATACCATCCGGAAGACGATCGATGTCTACAACTTCCGTGTAACTTCGGGTGTAGGCAAGCCAAGCGCACAGCTGCCAAACCTTCCGTCCAACAAATCGGAAAAGATGGCCACGTGGTACAGAAAACAAGATTGTCGGTTAATCTCTAAAGCAACGTCCAAACCGTTTGGGTGCACGCCCCGAGTCTATAGCCGACGATATTGGCAGTCGCTCTACCCCTTTCCTTGCGTCTAAACACTTTTATGTATCCATTCCGCACTGTGGCGCGTTGCCTCGATGCATTTGGTTCTGACTGTCAACATCCTCAATACGCAAACTTGAACTTCGAGCATGAAGGAAGACCGTTTATTCCATGTCTAGAGGGTGGCGAGAGTGGCCAATACTTCTGCAGAGTGCTTAGCCACCTTCGATTCCACGTCAGTGAACACCTGTAGTAGAGCGCGGGGCAAAGCGGCAAGGTGGCGGAAATCGATGGTGTTCCGGGGGGGGTTGTGGGGGAAAAGGCACAGGGGGTCAGGCAATTGGTTGTCAGACAGTCGGTTGGGCGTGAGTATCCTTCGGTGTAAGGCTCACACCATTCACGTTTATATACATGCTCGAAGAGGGTGCAGGTCCTTCAATGACCGGGTAGTCCACGCGACAATCTGCAAAATGTGGTTGCTGCAGTTGTCAAGGAGAGGAGTTCGCATTCACCGCCAGGAAAGGGTACAATGATAACACGGGAACAATAGACTCGTGACCTTGACAAAGAGTATGGTCTAGGGAAAATCTACCACAGGTACCTGTTTGAAAGGATTGAGGTGGGTTGGTACGAAACAGGTGAAATATCGGTGGTCACCCAAGTTACACTGTACCTGCCACGGCTCCATTTTTCCTTGAAACCACGCGCACGAACGTCAACTTCAAACCCTTCGGGAGCCTGACCATACGAACTCTAATACCGCCGGTACAACGGCAAGTAACGCCTCATACATGACTCTCGATCTGACGCTGACACCGCTGTGGTCAATCTCCACGAATGCCTAAACCCTCACTCACCTAATGTGAGTGTATCGCGATACACAAACAATACGACCACCAAACTTCTTTTGGAGCGGATGGGAGTTACTATTGTCGTCAAGCGCGGACTCACGTGGGTAGATTGTGCGCACTTTAAACTCATTGGCAATTTTCATCTGATAACCACAGTCTAGGGGGAAAATTTCACAAAAAAACAGAAAAATTCCACGTGACGGTGCTGTCGACACAAAAAAAGCACGCCTGCTTGCTGCGTAGTGTAGAAGCCGAAATCAAACCATTGGACTAGTGCAATGGAAACACTAGCCCAATGGTTTGACTCGTCCAATGGTTTGATTTCGGCGTCTAAACAACAACTTCAAATTTCTAAAGCAGACAACACACTGCCTTTCGTATCGGACATCTTACCTTCTCTATCTTGCCGTCGGAGCCAATGATGAACGTCAAACGGTTGGCAAATTTACCCATGAAGGGGATGTCGAGCTTCGAGCCGTACAAGTCCGCCACGTTGGCGCCGATGTCCGACAGGAGAGGGAACTGAAGGTTGTACGACTTCTCGAAGTTCAGGTGCTAACCACACGTAGTACAGCAAAAAAAGGGGGGAGAAAAAAACACACGGTGCAAACAATGAATGTTTTGCTTATTGCGAGAGAACTCATGATGAAACCAATGGGTGGCCAACACAATTTGAGCAACCCAGAAACGTTTCGAGTAAAGCGCCACAACGGGAAATAACACTAAGCGAACAAGTACCCGGACTAAGATTCACAAGAAGATAAGAGATGCTGCAGCCTTCAACTTCTCAAGGTGGTTCAAATCGGTCGTCTATGAAACAGCTAGGAATCCCCAAACCAGAATGCACACGTGAGCACGAAAAACCGTACAGCGAACACACTGTTGCGACGGTAATCAAACGAAAGCAATACTGCAGATGAGCGGGCACATGAGGAGGGGGGGTCATCAGTACTTCTATCGTTGCCAAGGTTGGGTTGCAAGGGGCAACGTGATGCATACCATCTTCAACACGAGACCAATGAGCCATCTGTGAAGTTGCCTTTGGTTGGATTCTGACGACTACATAACAAACGGCGATAACATTTATCACTGTAAACTCTCATGCTATCGTTTATACTCTGCACCTTCTCGATGGAGTCCACGCTCACGCCCACGATCTGCGCGTTGTTCGCGCCGTACTTTTCGAAGTCTTTCTGGAACCCCTGTGATGCCGAGTGCATGGAAAAAGGGGAGCGTTGCATCAAACCGGCACGTCCCGTCGCAGAAAAGTTTGCTTGGCAACCATTGAAAAAATCAAAGACAGAGAGTGATGTGCTTCGCGAAGAGCCGAAACATGCTTTGGAACGGAAGAGACGAGCCTGCCGTCCTCTGGGTGTGGTTGGGATAGGTGAGCATTTGGCAAATTGGGAGGTTTTCAACGCTTGGAATATCACGAACATATGCATACCTGGCAACGTGGGTAGTGTCAGGTCGGTGAGAAATACTTTACTTGCATGATAGTGGATGCGATACGAGGCGATGCCTTAAGGTTGAAACAAGGCATCAGAGCCCTCCCTCTTCAGGGTGTTGGCGCAAGGAACCAAAAGCAAATAAACTGACCACATTACTACGTAGAGTTTGGCTGAAAGCACGAGACGTTACATACCTGCGCTTCGATGGTGCAGCCAGACGTAAAATCACCTGCAGAAGCGAACGATTCATAGAAGGGACAAACCACAAGGTGTGTGCGTGGGGGGGGGGGGCGTACTCTTATGTTCCAAGCGTTCAACACCTGTCCCTCGGGGCAACGCCTTCAACGATAATCTTAACTAGCCAATATATTTGTAGCGAAATCATTTTTCAAAGTGTTGACGGCGGGCCCCCGTCTCGCCTACTGGGAGAGCAGTATTCTGATCTGATCGAACGCATTAGCTAAGACATGAGCCAGGACACTGCACCCGTGCTGTCTTGATCTGCATCCCACTTTACAAATGAAACCGAGAAGAATGAACTTTTCAGACCCAAGTTGCGCCACGGCGGGGTCACCCGGAGGGACAATCGAATTTCACTTCGTCACGCAACCAATCGGACTGACTCTTGGAAAGTTACCCCGGATGAACGAAGCAGGAACTGTAGCTTGTCTTGATGATCCAATGCCCTGCACGTGCTGTTGTTGGCTTTGGCAAACCGATACTAAAGTTAAAGTTATCACACCGACTTGCGAGAATACGCCGCAGAGCATCAACAAGGTACGGAGAAGGTGCCGATGCGCCGAACAACATGTCTTCATCTCGAGCGCTTGGAGTCCCATTGATAGGATTACGAGGCCACAATGGAAGCCCTGACAGCTGATGCATAAGCTCTGGGATGCTAACCTAGCAAGTCTCAAGGGAAACCAACCTGGGTAGAAGTAGAGCACCGTGTGCTTGGCCTGCTTGAGCAAGTCCTTGAGGCTGATGTCTTTGCCAGCGTTGCTGGGAAGCGTGAAATCGGGGGCCATGCTACCAACCGCCGGCGCTGCGCACGCAATAAATCAACAGCAGGTGGTGGATATTAGCTGTGCAGTGAGTCGCTAGGTCTCGACGTACTTTACGGCAATCATGCGGCGCAATGCCTTGGCACACTCCGACGGTGGCTTGCTTGTGCTCCAAGATAGCAAAATAGCCATTGTGCTTGTAGATGTCCCCTCGTTTCCCCCTGGGCAGTTTGACGCGCAGAACGGCATGTGAACGCGAAGAAGTAACCAGTTGAGCAGGAAGAAGTCTGCATGGACCAAGGATGCTATCGATGTTACGAGGCGGATAGTGTCGACCGAAACATAGACATTCCAAAAACTATCAGTAGCAGCGGTGGCGGCAGCGGCACCGTACGTACCTCATGGGGAGCACCTTGCTGTGCTGCTGGCTGCTGCTGTACACACGCTAGTGTCAGAGGGTTGAAACAGGGACTTCCGGGCAAAAAGCGGCACATCTGATCGGCCAGCTTACGCTTACATGATCGCCAACAGACCCAAGCGGCCCAACAATGACTCATGATTTTTATTGACCATTGCGCACACGGCGAATGCGTGCATCGCACACATGAGTGTCAGCTAAGAATGAGTGATCGACCACAAGTACTCACGTGCGGCCGCCACCGAAGCGAGAGGTGCCGCTGCCACGCCCGCAATACCAGCTGCGCCAACGCCAACCTGCCGCAGGAAGTCCGCTCTCTGCACCCCACCTCCCGATGAAGAAGGTCGCACCGACATCGTGAACGCATCAGTGCTGGGCAGGCCCGCAAGAATAACAGCCAGGATCGAGAGGTAAGCCATCATGATAAGGTGAGGGCAGCGGGATGGGAGGAGCTACGATGGGTAAATGCGGATCAGGCACGGACGAAGCAGCGAGCGAATTGGCGCTCGAAGGTTTCATGTGAGTTCTGCAGGCGTGAAAACGCGGCGTAACCTCGAGGGTCTGACATGACATGTCCGGAGCAACCCAGAGGGTGGAGTGACCCACCCACACAGCAGGCGCGTTTGCTCTGTATGTTGCTTCCGAGCCACGCGGGAGACGGAGAAGCACCTTGTTGCATGGACGTGGCTACTGAAGGAAGGAGATGAAGCACTCTCGATGTCAAGGCCTGGCCATTAGCGTGGTTGCGTGCTTGATGATGATCAGAGTTGACGCCTTCCTCGCCGCGTCATCGAACGGGCTGTCTCACGCTCAGCGCTCGTACCAGATAACAGCGACGTCCCGGCGACGAGCGCCATATTCGACAGTGACCATGAGGTCCACCACACGGCAGAGCAACGGCAAAGGAGTTCCCCGAGCGCGCGAGGAAGGAAAGAGGAGAACACCTCAAGAGATCGCAGGCGAGTCCAATAACCCCGCTACTCTACAACAGGCAGTTGGCAACGTATGTAGCCAGCATAGCTCCTGCTGTAGCTGTGCGCCTGCCTGTACGAGTGTAGTCTAGACTGAGGCTACCCTCCTACATTTTCACAGTTACCACTGAACGTGAACGCCGCACGAAGAGCTACACCAGTAAGTAGTAGCACATTGCTCAATCGCCTGCGGGAAAAAACAAAAAACGCACTGCTCGTCGTGTTCCCTTTCGAGTTCGAATCATGTGTCAACTCTGCAGTCTGTGATTCGCTGACCTCCGCATCCGATATCACCCGCTACTGTAGGACCAGAGCCTCAACTCTACCTACTGCATCCCTGTGGATGCCCTGTGTCGAGATAAGCACAGACAGTAACACAGTGCGTCCTTGTTCTCTGCTCGATGTTTACCTAGGTATGCCATTGCGTTATCTCGGGCCCTCGATTTTTAGATTTCTAGCGCGAAAGATGCGGTGAGCTACAGTACAGCAGTAGACTAGTCCAACCTTTTCTACTGTATCCTACTTGACATGTCGAGTTTTGTATCCAACCTTAACTACATAGGTCGAGCTGCAGGGAGCGAGCGTACTAGATTGTACGCACCTCCGACCACCCTCTTTCGTCGCTGTGCTCTGCTCTTGGCTGTGTCTATCTCGCAGAGGACGGGCAATCTTTCTTATCGCTGGCGATCGATGTTGTCTCCAACACAGGCGTCAGAACGGGCGCCATTCGTTCTTCGCAGGCTGCGAGGTGAGCTGCTGCAGGACACGACGGGCGTGATGAGCGCGCTGATGTACGCGTACAGTCTAGCAGTCGCCGAAGTAGATGCCGGCTTGCTGCTGATGCTGCCTGGGTTACGAAAAGGGCTTGACGCCACCAGCATCGACAGAGGACCAACACATCGTGTAGCATATTTGTTGGTACACAACGATCGCGGCGACGGTTGAATCAGACCTTGGAGGGAAGTTCTATTCGGACGCCCTTTCGCTAGCACCCGCTAAGAGTGTGTGTGGACACTGATCCGGAGGACAAGACTTCTTCCGACCCCTTTGTTTTGTGCAATATGTACCCGTTGATGCTGTTTTTGGGTCGGCTCCAGCCGCCTGCTCCTCTAGGTGATGCCCTGGACGCATGTTGCAACTTTCCTTCAGGGGGATTTCGTACAACGTTCCATGTCGAGGAGTCACACCACAAGGCTAGCCCTATGAATGGAGTGCATTGCTTGTTTCCATTCCCTCTACATATTGTAGAAGTGGCTTCTCCCAGAGGAGGATGTGCGTACCCTCTGGAATTCCGCCTACCACCCTCTGATTTTTTTTTACCGCAGTCCAAAGGGTGTGTTTGGATGTGATCTTGAAGGCAATTTGCCGGTCCAGAGGGATGAAAAAAGCGCAGAGGATTTAAGGAGCGAGCCCATTGGCTACGTACGGCCGCAGTTTGTCGAGTCAATACAACCGGTGTCGGGCGTGGTAATCAAGGGTGCACTCACTGCTTTTAAAAACGGCTCATTGACAGTGACGTTGCTTCAGGAGACGTGCGACAAGCTGCACATGTGGCTGTTATCCGGGGGTGGGTGACCGAAACATGATTCCTCGACGTGTTGACGTCGCGTATCCTCCTCGCAATTGATCGTCAGGGCGACGGCATCGACGGCCATCGACGTGGCTCTGAACGTGCTGGGCGGCGTGCGAGATGGAACCGGGCCTGTCGAAACCCTCAAGAAAAGCCCTCCTTCCGTTCTGCGGAAGCTGTGCGAAAGGATGGGAGCCACGTATATCAAGGTGCGCCCGGAATTGGGTCTGCTGTAACGCCCGCGGATCTGTTACTATCCACTCCCTCTCTGCTGTCGTTCATCCCCGTTGCCAAGTCGGACCTTGGAGATGTGCTCTTCTGCCTAATCGGAATTGCCCCTATTTTCTTCTCCTCCAATCCCCCCGTGTTTGTATTTTTTCCCTCCTCGTGAACCTTAATCCTAACTTTGTAAACCCCATGACGCCCCGCTTCACATTGATAGGTGGGGCAATTCATCGCGAGCAGTCCCACGCTCTTCCCCGCCGACTATGTGAAGGAGTTCCAGAAGTGTTTGGACAAGACGGACAACATCCCTTGGAGTGAGTAGCTGTATTAATAGTAGATGCTGGAGTGCTAAAACTGCTATTATCGCTTGTTTCTGAGCGGGGCCTGACGTCGTGGAATCGACTATGGAGAGATGCACCCTTTTGCGTTGGGCCAAAGCTTAAACCACTCTCAAGAAATTATTTCACTTTCAAGAGATTATCTAGCTCAACTTTTTTACAGAATACGTTATTTGGAATGCTGGTTCACCAACATCCCTATAGAGCCGTCGGTGAATGAGAACCTCGTTCTAGACTCCATCTTCCGTGGCTTTTCGATGGAACATGTTCATGTTCCGCCGCTGACCCATGTCGGTTTGTAGCAGAGTTGGGCGTCGGTCCTCCTTCCGATGCATCGAAACGACTGCGATCTGTGCTGAATCACCCAGGCCTTTTGGTTTCGTAAAGCGGGCATCCCATAGTCTGCTCTACCAAGAGCTGGTGTTTAACTTTTCAGCAATCGCAGTTTCCGTACAATTGGCACGGTTGAACCCGCTTGCTGAACATCGTCGCAACACACGAATGTTTGGAGGAAATGGAAGGAAGCTAGCTTGGTTGGACGTGGGCAACCAATGAGGGTTACATAGCATGTGCGGGATCTTTTCGAGAGTCGCGGTTGGGCGTGGGCGCGGTTGGGCGTGGACAGTACATATTTTGACGCCGTTTCATGCCCGGTTTCACACCACTTAATTTTGCGAGCTCTAGTTGTTTGAAAGTTCTCTCCCCCCCCCCCCCGGCTCTCCTCCCTCTTCTGGGTTGCTTTCTGTACTGTGTTACCGTCGCTTCCTGAAGGCACGATGCGGCCAATCATCGAGAAAGACCTTGGCAAGCGAATTACGGAGGTGTTCTCCTCGATTAACACTGTCCCCCTAGCCTCGGCCTCCATCGCACAGGTTTGGACAGTCGGCAATTTCGAATGATCCTCACATATGCGTATTTTCATGGAGCGATGTATAATTTTTCGGGAAAGTCTTCTTTCAGACAATGACACCCCTCTGGGGTGGACCTTCATTGTTCAAGAATAGTTTGTGGTCAGTCTACAGTGAATCATTAGTCTTGTAAGAAAGGTCAACCTTACGGCAACTCATGCAGAAATTTTCTCATGTAGAAGCACAACTTTCACGCCGTTGATTGCTTCGATCAACCCCACACTCTTCTCTAGATATCAGACTATTTTTCTGAGGTTGATCGAATGATGTGGCGACAACATTATACCCCAGTCGAAAACTACAAGTGGCTCAAGTTGGGTGGAGGTTGGTTTGAAGAAGTCCCGCATTCTCGGATTGAAGTTACCTAGTAGTGGAAGAGAGCTTGAACTGTGGCCGGAGACTCTTTGTCTGCAGTAGTCACGTTCACAGTACTACTTACAGTAGTGCATATTTAGGTTTTCAAGCTTGCCTCGTCGAAGAAGTGCTTCCTGCAGTGACAGACAGCAAGCCATGACCAACAGAAGCTTTATTAAGCACTGCCGTGAGCACAAATCAGTGGCTTTAAGAGCAAGACGTACTGCCTTGTGGATCAGGCGAAGGGTTTCCAGCAGTGCTGCAGCGGTTTAGTGTATTTAGTGTACTTGTAGAGAAGGGGGGTGTACTCGTAGCCGTGCATGCCGTAGTCGTTAGACCAATGACCTCACATCCCTACAAAGCCGGGACGGATCGGAGGGTGTATTTGTCATGCATGACCTTATTCCCGAGACCACCCGTTCGCTGGCAGCCATCGGATGGGAAGAAATATTGGCTACGTGTCCATGGCGCTTTCGCCGCTCATGCGTGACGGCCGGACGAAACAGGTGTACGCCGCTACTTTGAAAACCGGAGAAGATGTGGTGATCAAGGTGCAGAAGCCCGGTGTGGCGGAGGTCCTCAAGACTGACCTGGGCTTCATGTACATCACGTCGAAGCTTGTCGAGGTTCGTGACCGTGTCGACGGTTCTGGGCTGTGTTCATCATAGTTGTACCTCTTTTGGGTTGTTGCCGGTGACCACGGAAAGCGGCCACTTCAGTTGAACCAAGTTCGGGTGTTATTCTAGAAGGTACAGAGCGATAACAAGACACAACCAAACAGGGAAGCTACATAGCGGTTGGTGGGTTGGGCATTTTTGAAGTTAGGTTGAAATGCATACCACACAATTTCTTGTTGTCGCTTTTCAGAACATCTTCCCTTTGTATTCTTGAGGAATTTCAAACCCAACCAACCAACACATCGTTTTTCTACCCGCGGTTTGACCATCTGTCCCACCGCGTGTGCTGCTCACTCGTTCCGTGCCTCGTTGCTCGCGACAACAGCTGGTTAACCCCATGTTCGCGAGCCGTCTCAGCGTGTCAGACATCGTCGGGGATATCAGGTAGAGATTGGCTTCGGAAGCATAGGGTTCACCCTTGTGCTGCCGTCACACCAGGACAAACTCTATGGTTACGGTAGATCCTACCCTCCCAAAAAATGACGAAGACCTTTGACGAGCTGGGTCTTTTGTACCGAAAACCCCGAAAACCGCAAGATACTGCCCCCCCTATGGAAATTTACAGAGACGTGGACATCGCCTCTGCTGCTGTAAGCAAAAGGTAGAGTCTCTGGGCGCACACATGGTGATTTCTTGCGACAGTCTATCGATTCTGCGGACGCAAACAGAGAAGAGTGCGAAAGAGGCGGGACGAGGCTTGAGTAGCAATAACACATCACGAGAGCTGCTTAGACGACTAGCATCCGACGTGCTTCTTCAAAACCATGCCCAACTCTGTGGTGATGCAGGGTTAATGTCGACGGTAGCTGATTTGTGTGGCTCTTCAAGAGCTCGAGTATTCCCCCCCATCTGGTTTGAGAACTCACACTTACATCCTCGAACACCTGCAAGGAATTCCACCATGTGCATATGTATACAAGCCCCTCTTTCCGGAGTTTCGAATTTACCTCCCGGAGGCAAAGCAAGAGGGCATGGTCAAGGTTATCGCGGTTGTGTCGTTGTAGCTCAACGCGGTCCAAATTGTCATGCATGGTCATGTGCGGCGACCCTCTTTTTTTTCTGGCCGTGACATCTTGCGTGTGGGTAAATGTGTGCCTTTTAGGCTATAGCGGTTTCTTTGCTGTAACTGGCTGCTTTTGATCTATCTCGCTTCAGTGTGTTGTTCATAGTGTGTGAGGGCGTGTGTTGCGCAGGAGGCAAATGTCCTGTCCGTGCGTATGAATGGTTTTTCTTTTAATTCTGCGACGGCTCTTGTGGTTCGGGACCCCTCCCCGCGAAGAAGTGCTAATCGCGGCAACTTCAGGCGCAAGCGCACGTACCACGGATGACTGGCGGACCTGGAGCATGCGCGGCGATGCACAGACGAGCCTCCTGCGTGCCCCTGATAAGGAGTCGTCTAAAAACGTTCTCTGCCGCCTGTGAAAGATGTTCCCGAGCACGAAAAACATGACACGTACACTGTATACTCCGGAGTATCCTCGATGCTGGATGAGCTGGATTTCAAGACTATAAACCACATGACGTTTCACCCTTCCACGCATATGCTGTCCGATCCCCCCCTCAGGTCCTCGATGCTGGATGAGCTGGATTTTAAGAAGGAGGCCGCAAACCAGGAAGTGTTTCGTACATTCCTCAAGGAAAGCGGGATCGATCACGAGGTCACCGCTCCCAAAGTCTTTCCGGAGGCTTCCACAGAACGAGTCTTGACAATGGTAAGCCCTTCTGCATGTTGGTTGCCGTTGCTCCCTGATCTCATGTGGTCGTTGAACGTTTGGTTACGACGTTGTGGTTATTTTAATTGGTGGTTGTGTCGTGGGTTTTGGTTGTGATGCGTGATAGGCTATGACGAAAGGGTCTCGACCGTGATGATCGTGTGTTCGTGTGTTATTAGCCCATCCATGCTGACTTATTAGAATATAGCTTGTATCGTGAGGTCGTACCAGCCGAGGTAGTACAAAGAGGGGCGCTTGCCTTGTGCAGTGCCCGCCTGACTTTTCCCCCGTTTTTACTTACCACTAGAATAAGTCAGCTTTCCTTTCCCTCGTCGATCGCGAAATCGGATGTTGCGTATCTCCATCCGAATGAAGGGTGTACGTTTGCGTTTTTTCACTTGTTGACTCTATCATGTTCCGAATCGTCACAGGGCACGGCGCGACAAAAAACAGTTGTTGATGGTATCAGCGCCTCTCCTTGCGTAGTTTGGAGAATATGCGGGCGCCGTGAACTATGCACACCAGTCTTACGGGTGCTTTGACTATTCACCGGCATTGGCAGTACAGTAACTGCGAAATCCTTGCTCCTTTATAGGACAGACGCTGTCCATCGTGCAAGTTTCTTGTGCCAGCTATTCCTTGCATGTTACTCCCAAGTACCATTGTTACGTAGCCATCATCGCATTGGGTGTCTCGGGCCGTTCAATTCTAATGTGTAGTTACTCCCATTTGGGTGTCCAAAAATGTTGCTGCTAGTGGCTCGCCGCTTCTTCTTTGCATTTGTAGGGCCCACACCACTCTCAGAGGTTGGTACCATACATTGTAGTACCATTCTGAGATGATGATGCTGTTGGTTTACCTTTATACAGAAAAGGACAACGGTTTTTGCTCTCGACCAAGCTGCCCTTGGAACACCTCACTTTGCAGGAGAGATTGTACGGAGTTCCTCTGACCGACTTGGAGGGGATCCAGAAGGTGTCCAAGAATCCGGAAGCCACGCTAATTTCGGCCCTGAACACATGGACGCTTTCGGTCATGAATTGCGATTTCTTTCACGCGGTGAGTACTCGACAATCATGTGATCAGTGAGGGATTTCAAGTTGTGTCTGCTGTCCAATGTGGTGCTGTTTACGAGAGTGTCGTTATGCGTAGAAGCTATAAAGGTGCTCTTTTGCTATGCACGACAGCTGCGCCACCTTTCAATCTTCAAGTGAGCACAGTTTTGATTTGCAAGATGCCGATGATCAAACAGGAATAGCAACCCCACCGCCACCGCCACACCTGGAACACACGGGAATAAGAAACAGGGAATTCGTTTCTTTCTCTGATTCGCCGACCTACACTAAAATAACGTTCCTGGAAACATTTACAGCCCCGAAGGTTCCACATACTTGGTGATCTTGCCGCTTCATAAATTCAATGCAGTTTTGAAATTGTCCAATACTGCTTGGAACACGAGCTCGTCGGTGGCAATTAAGGGCACGCAATAGGATGTGTGCGATCAGGTTGGGCATATCGCAGCCACACGTGCTGCTTGCTGAATGTAGCGGTTCAAGCGAAACAGGTACTACCATCACCAGGTGTCTCGCACGCAAAAAGTCACCAGCGGGTGCTCGTGCAGGCGTTGTTTTGGGGGAAAAAGAGAGTCAAAGAACAGATGGGAAGCTTCCGTTGACCACAACTCAAGAAATAACCGTTCCAGAGTATTCTTGAGGGCACGGGTTGCACGACGAGCACCGGCTGCTCTGAATAATGCCGGTTGCCCGCTTTAGTGCCGGTGAAATCGGCTGGATGGCACCGGCATTATACGGGGACCTCTTCTGTAACAGCAACTCACGTAGGCCACGAACAACATGTGCAGGACGTTCATGCGGGTAATCTGCTGGTTTTGGAGGACGGTCGGGTGGCGTTTATCGACTTCGGGATCGTTGGACGGTTCTCTCCGGACACTTGGACAGGGGTTAGCCGCCTCGCAGACGGGGTTGCTGAGGAGGATTTCAACGTCATGGCGGAGGTGAGGAGCATCTTTCCAGTTGCAGAGAGGTCCGTTGCAGGTGTTTCCGAACCCTCCAGAGAGAGCGGCTAGTTGAGATGGAACGTAGGCGTTTTATCTGCCCAGCTCAGTGGCGTTATACAAGAAAGAATACAGCTTCGCTACGGCAAGTCACCATGAAAATTCTTAAACGGAACGAAACGCTACTGTCCGCTCCGTGGCACCCACTCAGAATAGCGTTTTGGCACGTCGCCACGGGAAAGAGGCACCACAGAAAATTCTTTGGAGCCCGTAAGTGCTCTATCTCGGGAGTATCATCCACAACCCGTTGTCAGAGGGAAGCTCATGACTACAATACCGTTTGTTGCCTGGACGTATTTTCAGTAGTCAGCTGTTGAGCACTGCTTTTACAGAAACACATTAAATTAAACACACTGTCGGGCTCCGTGTGCATAAACAAACATGCATGTGTGACGTTGCAAATGTGTTATTGGTGTACCGTAACCGCTACACATTCGAACATTTCGGAGGTAAACCGTCAGTTTATAGGCATGTCCGGCTGGTTTCGACGGGCTTTGTCGGATTGATCGCCAAGCTGCGGTTTTTCGCTCTACTGCTTGATATTCCAGAAAACAAAGACTTTCAGGGTCGCGACTCGATGGCACTGCTCATGAGTTACGGAAACAGTCTTTAGACTGTTGAAAACACCGCCATGTCTATCGTACATACTGTAAAATGCGACTGCGTTACCCCAGCGGTACGGTTAAGCACCTCAGAGAACCCCCACAAAGTATAAGTTCTTAATTATACAACAAGTTGAGCTTTGACACCAATATGAGCCGAGGAGAGAATTATCCGTGCGGTGTTGATGCTAACACGTGTGTGCTCCACACGACACGTTAGCTGTATTCGGATAGTGACGGAGGTGGAGGTATGCTCATAGCCGTGCATGTCGTTAGACAAATGACCTCGCATCCCTACAAAGCCAGGACGGAGCACGCCGGGTTTTCACCGGACTAGGCTAGCACATCACCAAGCGCGAAGCGCCGTGAGGTATTCGGCGAGTCGCATGAAGGATGCGCGGCATCCTGCTAAGGGTGTTCGGCATCTTGTGCTTACTTCCTTGCATACGGATGACAGCTGCGAATGACTTAATCTATTTGCTGGTGCTTTCACTTCCAGAGACAGTTGTAAGCACTGCTGTGTAACTGCCTCGAGGGTGCTTGACCAATTTTAACACAACGTGGTGCGATCACCCCCTTGGCATGGAGCGAGGGTTCTCGACCCCGCCCGCACTACATGATCTACTCGACCACCATTCCTGGTTACCGCTAAAAAAAACAAAAACAAAGGCAAAAAAAAAAGAAGCGGTATCCTGGTTGCCGAGCTCACGAAGCGATCGACGTGTTTTACAACGTCGTTGCCAAGCGACGAAAGCCCATGGGGGGGATCGTGAGGAAGAGGGATCATTTTTGAATAGCTGTGTTTGCAAATGATGTATCCACACCTGCTCCACCACAAACCAACATTCAAACATGAGCGCCAAAACCCCAACTCCAACAGGCTGGGCTTTCGGCCAAGACAAAGGGGGGTGTTGTGGAGGTCCTGATATGGAATGTTATTGAAGTACACACATGCATCATAGTAGACCTGCGAGATGTATGGCAACGTGGCAATGGATCGTTAGTCGTTTGATCTTTTCAACATGTGCGAATGGTGAACGTTTGGGATGTCGAGCTCCCCACACCACCCACCCCAGCTTGACCGAGGTCGCTAGATCCCGCTTGGCACCCCTCGCCGCGTTCCACTAGGAAATGGCCAATCTCCGGCGGCAGGTCATAGCCGCTTCACTCCGGATCCTACGCTCACCCAGGGTTGAGGGCTCCATGCACCAGCATTTTCGAGCCAGTTCTTATCCTCAGGTGGTATGGGTTATGTACAGTGGCATCACCTCCCACGACTGGTGTAGCCACTTCTTCCTGCACACGAAATCTCCCATCTTCCTTACCTGGAATATTTCATATCCCATACTTTTGACATACATATGTTTTCACTTTTGAAACATTTGTTGTTCCCCTAAGAACATGCTCTATGTACAAGTTTACAGCAAAGGCTTCCCGCTGAACGTCAAGTACGCTCATCTACTCTCCGTGACTTCGGCTTTGAGCCAGTTCAAGCACAAGCTGGAACGGCTGACTGGCCTCTACGACATCTCCGTGACTTCGGCTTTGAGCCAGCTCAAGCACAAGCTGCTACGGCTGACCGGGCCCGGCGATGGGAGGGGGTTCGACCAAAAGAAGCCTCTGGTCCAGAAGAAGACCGATGGCCTGCTAAGGAGAATGAAGGCAGTGCAATCAGCGACATATCTCCAAATACAAAGCACCACTATCGCGCTCGTGTGGGGTCGCTCACGAAACCGGGCTGG